TCTTTTTTTGTTTTTTCTCTTTGGAGCCTAAACAGTAAGTGTTTCTCTGACAAGAATTTCTAGTTTTTTTTTTTATCTTTAGGCATATAATACCCAGTTAATTGCCACTACTGTCTTCTACCCTATTTGAATAAATCTATTTTCCAATCTACTAAGCCAATTCTGAATTTTATTTATATCATTTTGCAAAAATGGCATGGTGTCATGAGACCCCAGTCAAGAATAGCATCAGCCCAAGGCTGATTCCTAGGAAGTGGAAGTCAAATATACCTCTATTCTATAACCTTTCTATCATTTCTGGCACCAACTGTCCTTCCTCTCCTCTTCTCTGCTGGGCTGGGTTTGGTAACTTGCTGAATGGCCACAAAGAACTCACACACCATATTCACCATCATGGGGAGCAGGATCCTGAAGCATGTAGGTGTCACCCTTGGTCCACATAGGACAGCTCCCAGATCCTCTCCATCATACAGGGCTCCTCTCAGCTTGCTTGAGGACAGACCTTCTCTCAGCCATCTCAGGACAGGTCTCCTCCTTCATCCCTAGGCCTGGCTTCTGCCCAACTTGGACAAGTGTTACAAAGCTCTTTTAGCTTGGCTGGTAAGTGCCTGGAGGCATCCTACTCCACCAGGAAGCCTGCTGCCTAGAGGTCTTCAGTGGGTTGGCTCCCCTATTGTAGTCACTTTGTTAGGTGGGCCAGGAATCCTGCCACTCTCTCACAGCGCTATCCAAATTCTGCCATGCTTGCGCAGCTTCTCACCATCTCAGACTTTCTCTGCTGTTACAGTTTCTCTCAGGTCTAGGAGGTTCTCAGCATAGAGACCCTCAGTTCAAAGAACACCCTCCACTCCTGGTCATGAGGGTGGTGTCTGACCTTCTCTAATGTTACAAGGGAAGGACCAGCAACAGTCCAGTTCTTCTGAGGCGGAGGTCAGACATGCCTCCATCCTCCAACCTTTTCACCAATTCTGACACCAACTTTCCCTCCTATACAACTCTCTACTTCTCTGCTGGGTTTGATCATTTATTGCAATGGCAACACAGAACTCACAGAAGATACTAAACTAAGGGGTTTATTAGGAGAGTTGTTGTTGTTGTTGTTAAGTGCCGTCAAGTCAGTTCCGAACCATAGCGACCCTGTATGGGATTTCCGAGGAACTGCTGGTGAGCTTGAACCACCAACGTTGCAGTTCAAACAGCTTTGCAGTCTGGTGCATTAACCCACAGTGAAACCAGAACTCCTATTAGGGGTATAACAGGTCACAATTCAGGATCAGGAACACTCAGGATACAATTCTTCAATCAAAATACCCTCTCTCTGTTTGTAGGCCTATCTCTTACGGACCCTAGACTTCTTAGCCATATAGCCCTTCACCCTCTGCCTTGCTCGGGCAAGTGTTACAAAGCTCTTTTAGTTCATCTGATTATATGCCCAGCACCACCCCACTCTACCGTAAGCCTTGGCTCCAAAGTGCTCAGCTCTAGCTACATGGGTGGCAAACAAGTGCCAGGAGGCACACTATTCCATCAACAAGCCTCCTGCCCAAAGGTTCTGGCTCTCCCTGTGTGTGCTGGGAAGCCCACAGTCTCCTGCTGGCCTTCTGGTTCTGCTATCTCTGCTGCATCATTTCTGGATGCACAGCTCTCTCTCTCTTCCAGATTGATGAGGGTCTGCGCAGGGATCTCGGGTCCAAAGTATGTGCACCACTCCTACCTCGTCTTTCTTGATGGTGGTCAGATCCCCATTTCTGCCTCTGGGATGGCTCACTTTAAGCCTTAGTGAGATGAAAAACTGGCCAATTTCCACATTAGGATTCCACAGACCTATCTGCATGTTCCATGACACAAGGGTACCATAAATACATTTTTTTTTTTTAACTTTTTCTGTCTACTACTGAGTGAATGTTTACAGACAAGATCATCAGTTTTACATTCAACAAATCATACACTTTGTTTCATCTCAACAACTGCAATCCCCTCTGTGAAATAACAGTTATCCTTCTTTCTCTCTAGGGTCCTTATTTCTAGCCCACCCTCCTTCCCATCCCTCTCAACTTTCTTCTTAGGTAAATGTTACTCTTTTGATTTTGAATGATTGACCATTCCATGGTGAGCAAACCTTACCAGTGTGGTGTCCCCTCTATATGCCTATCTGTTGTGTTGTTGTTAAGTGCTATTGAGTCATTTCCAGCCCACAGTGACCTTATATAGAGATGCCAAGGGACAGCTGGTGACCCTGAAGTGCCAACCTCATGGTTCAAACTGACTTTGCAGCACCACACCAGGACTCTGTATACCTAGCTACTGCTTGGCTAAAATCTGAGCCAGGAGGGTAAGTTTCTTTCCAGACCTGAATGATGGTCAAGGGCTATAGTTTTGGGTTCCTCGAATTTCTTTCTGACCAGTAAGTCCAGTCTTTTTTCTAATTTTGACTTTTGTTCACATTTTCTGCCACTCTATCCGGGACATTCTCATGTGATCCCTTTCAGAGCAGTTGGTAGTGGTTGCCAGGCATCATCTAGTTCTTCTGGTCTCAGAGTCATGGAGACTGATGGACTAATTGATTCCCAGCATCTTCAATTCTCATCACTCTTCTTTCTTTCACACATGGAGAGACCAATAGTGGTACCTTAGATAATAGCTCAGGAGCTTTTAAGATCCCAGATGCTACTCACCAAAGTAGGATACAGAACACTGTCTTTGTGTTATGTCAACTGACCAGTGTCTCCCGAAACTATGGTCCTGAGCCCCCAGGCCCAAAAACTCATTGCCTTAAGATGTCTGATATTATCTAAGTAGTTTTCATCATTTTGCCTGCTGTATGCTCCACTACATTCTTACTTATGTTTGCAGCAAAGTTATATACCCATGTACAAATATCCTCCTTCATACTCTTAAATATTTGTGGCTGTACTCCCACTTTTCCTCTCATGCCTGTTCAGCCTATGTATTCATCCGTGCATCTAACCACAGAACACTGTTGCTCCAAGGTTGTATACAAACCACTATTTACCTCTATCCCCTTTAACCAATGCATACCTCTCCCTGTGTCTTCACCTGTCTTCATCATTCTTCTGCAACCTCCCTCTTCTTACATAGTGTCCAAGTTAACAGATGTCTACCCTCTCATCACAGTGAGTTACTCTCCCTTCCCTCTCTCCCCTGGTAACCAACAAAGAATGTTTCTCATATTATGAAAACCTTTTCTTGAGTTTTCATACCATGTATTTTAATTATATTATTAGCAAGCTATCTAATCCTACTGATGGCCACAAGTATCTCACATTTGCATAGTCCTACCCAATCTTGTAGTGTGGCGCTGTAAGATAAGCACTGGACTGTGAACCACAAGATTGATGATTGAAAGGCACCAGCTATACCTTGGAAACCTTATGCAGGGTCACTATGAGTCAGAACTGACTTGACGGCACTTAACAACAACAATCCAATCATTTGGTAGGAGTTACAATGACAATAGCTAAATTTGCCAGGTCAAGTAATTCAGTACACTGCAGCTACCTTAGTTAAAAGAGTGTGGTAGGTAAATAGACAGACATATAGATTAATGGGATAAAATTGAGGGTCTATGTATAAACTCATAAACCCATGAATAACTGACTTTTCAACAAGGGTGCCAAGACCACTCAATGGGGAAAGAGTCCTCTCTTCAATAAACGTGCTAGAATAACCGGATATCCAGGTACAAAAGAATGAAGTTAGACACATATTTCATAACATATACAAGAATGAACTCAATGTGAATCAATAACCTAAATACAAAAATCAAAACCACTAAACTCTTACAGGAAAACACACAGATAAAATTTTATGACCATGTTTTTATAATCAATTCTTAGACACAACAAAAACATGAACAACAAAAACAAATAAATTAGATATCACTAAAATTTAAAAAAAGTTTGTATTCAAAGAACTTTAGCAAGAAAATGAAGAGACAACCTTGAAAAAGGGAAAAAATATTGGGAACCTAATATCTGGATAAGGGTTTAGTATCCAGAATATATAAAAGATCCCTACAGTTCCACAACAACAACAAAAAAACAATTAAAAAAAAAAAAAAATGGGCAAAGAACTAGAACAGACATTTCTCCAAACAAAATATACAGCAGCCAAGATGCACATGGAAAGATGCTCAACAGTATGTGTCAACACAGCACATACCAGATGTTAGTTATCAAGTCAGTTCTAACTCATGGCAAATCCATGTAATGCAAAACAGAACTGTGCTCATATGTTTTCATGGCTGATGTTTTCTAAAGAAATCTCCAGATCTTTCTTCCAAGGCTCCTCTAAGTAGACTTGAGCCTTCAACCTTTAAGTTAGCAGCTGAGCATGTTAACCATTTACACCACCAAGAACTCCTTCCCGTGTTTCTCTTAGATATTTTCATTTAAAAATACTTTTGAAGACCCCACAGCTGACTAAACATACTGACAAATTATACTTACCAAGTAGATGTGTCTCACATACATCATTAATAAACTGAAGCAATACTTCCAAACATCTAAGAAGTTTAATTCTCAAAATTCTAACTTTGTTATTTGAAAGAATTGGGAGCTAGCAAAATGGTAACAGATATTCTTGCAAAAAACTAAAATGAAACGTTCATTTCTGTTGAGATGTTGAAGCAAAATCAATTCTAAGTTCCATGCCTCTGATTACAATATCAACCTACTTCAATATTAAAGCTATGTCTGAAGATTTTCCCTTTTGACAAATGACTTCTGCAAAGATTCCACCAAACAATCTAGGGAGTTAAATAAATGTCAATTAGAGAGTGGTTTACCTCTCATGAGTTTTTTTTTTCCTCTCTCTATTAGTGCCACAGAATATCTTTTCTAAGTTTTTGCTTCTCTAACACCATCCATTATATCACAACATAACTGAAATTTCCTGCTTTCAAGGAGTCATCTTTTCAAGGAGTCATTCTTTATGAAATGCATAAAAATGCATTTCATAAAAGGTATCATATATCTCACCTGGCCAGTTCTTTAATTAAGTTTGCAATGCGTCTTTTGTCTTCAAGACACAAATCCTTCAATGACGCACTCTTTATTCCTCCCTTGAGGAAATTCTAAAAGAAACAAACAAAACTTTTGATTAACTTTTGCTAAAAACAATTTTCAAGTTTTTCTAAGAAACTTCTTAAACTTAGTATAGGAGTTCAAATACCTTAGACATCTTTTAACTGTTAGGATACTATCTACCAATTGCTTTAATTTCACTACGAACTCAAAACAGTCTAGTGAACTGACTGTCCAGCAAGTTAACATCATAAAATTTACACAGAAAAGCACACAGAATGAACTCAAAGACAGACTCAACCCGGCTTAAATGTTAAGGAAAATTATGGAAACAGCTTTCCCTTAGTTGTTCCAAAACCAATACTTAATAGAATATGTTGTTGTTATTGCTGTTAAGTGCTGTCGATCAGGCTCTGACTCATAGTGACCCTGTATATGATTTCCGAGGAGCAGCTGATGAGCTTGAACTTTCAACCTTGTAGTGTAAAACCAACCTTTCAGTCCAGTGCTTATCCTACAATGCCATATGGAGACCCATTTTCAGGACTTATTCTTCTATTATACCCCTATATATTAAGGTACATATTAAGGTATATTAAGGAGTATAGTGGTTACAAATCGAGTTGTGAACCACAAGGTCAGCAGTTCGAAACTACCAGCTGTTCCGCGGGAGAAAGATGAGGCTTTCTGCTCTTGTAAAGATTTACAGCCTCAGAAACCCTGTACAGGGTCACTATGGGTCGGAACCGACTACATGACACATAACAACAACAACAAGGTTGGAAGCAGAGATACTCAGAGTATCAAAAATATTCTAAGGCTCATTAAAAACAGTACTAAATCAAAGGGCAAAAATAATAACATCTAAACTAAAACTTATAGCTAGGGCCTTCTGCAAGCAAAGACGGTTCTAAGAACTTCACCCGCATTCCCGCAAAAGGGAACAGTTAATCTATAGTATATTTGTGTAACAGGATGTTATAGGTACTGTGTTATGCTACTGCCTTTCATCTTCAACCCACCATCTATGCTTGTGTGTGATGTTGAGAAGGATGTTCTGGTAGCCTCATTTCTCCTTTGCCTCATGACTCTCTGCTACCGTTGGTGTGAGGTGCTATTGAATCAGTTCCATTTCATAACAACCTTATTCACAACAGAACAAAATATTGCGCAGTCCTGCACCAACCACACAATTGTTATTATGCATCAAACCATTACTGATGCCATTGGAAGCAGCAGTCAAGAAAGCAAACGACATATTGCATTAGGTAAACCTGATGCATAAGACCTCTTTAAAGTGTTCAAGAGCAAAGATGTCAGTTTGAGGACTAAGGTGGGCCTGACGAAGCCATGGTATTTCCAATAGCCTCATTGTTGTTGTTGTTCTTGTTGCTGTTGTTGTTGTTAGGTGTCATCGAGTTGGTACCAACTCACAGCGACCTTATGCACAGCAGAACGAAACACTGCCCGACTCTGGGCCAACATCACTTTTGTTGCCATGCTTGAGTCCATCGATCTGCCACTTGGCCAATCCATCTCGTTGGGGTTCTTCTTCTTTTTCTCTGACCCTCCACATTACCAAACATGATATCCTTCTCCAGCGACTGGTTCCTCCTGACAATATGTCCGAAATATGAGAGACAAAGTTTGGCCATCTTGGCCTCCAAGGAGCACTCGGGCTGCACTTCTTCCAAAATGGATCTATTCGTTCTTTTGGCAGCCCATGGCACTTTCAATATTCTCCTTTAACACCATAACTCAAATGCATCAATTCTTCTACGATCTTCCTTATTCACTTATTCACTGTCCAGCTTGTATACATAAAAGTTGGATAATGAATACGGAAGACCATAGAAGATTTGATGCATTTGAGTTATGGCATTGAAGAAGAATATTTAAAGTACCATGACTGACAAGAAGTTCTGGTAGTGTAGTGGTTACAAGATGGGCTGCTAACCTCAAGATCAGCAGTTCGAAACTGCCAAAAGTTCCGTGGGAGAAAGACAAGGCTTTCTGCTCACGTAAAGATTTAAAGCCTCGGATACCCTATGCAGGGTGGCTATGACGCAAAACCAACTCCACAGAATACAACCACCACCATGGACTGCCAGAAGAGCTAACAAATCTATATTGGAAGAAGTACACACAGAATGCTCCTTAGAAGCTAGGATTTCAAGACTTCTCCCATACTTCACACAAATTATCAGGAGGGGCTAATCCCTAGAGAAAGATACCATGCTTGATAGAGTAGAGGGTCAGCAAAAAAAAAGAGGAAGACTTCCAACAGGATGGATAGGCACAGTGGCAGCAGCACTGGGTTCAAGTTTAACAATAGTTGGAATGATGGTGCAGAGGTAGGAAGTCTTATGCATAAGGTTGCATATGAGTCGGAACCGAATCAAAGGCATTTAACAACTGCAACAAGACAAAGCAATAATAATCAAGGCAGTGTAACTCAAGCAGAAGATAGTAATATAAACCAGTGAAATATACCTGAGAGTCCAGAAACAAGCCATTACATTACATTTGTGGGCAAGAGATTTTCTATAAGATTGATAAGCCCATTCACTGAAAAAGGAATATTCTTTTCAACGAAAGTAGTGGGCGAACTGAATATCCACATGAATAAAAATGAAATTAAAGCATTATCTCATATCACATACAAAAATTAACTCAGAATGAGTCTCTGACCTAAATATAAGAGCTAACACAAACTTTTACAAAAACACAAGGAACAAAATAATAAAGTGAATTTCATCAAAATTAAAAACTTGTACATTTCACATAATTCCCTCAAGAAAATCAGAGGGCAATCCACAGGATGACAGAAAGTATTTGGAAAGCATAAAGAACTCGTACAACTCAATAATAAAAAGACAAATAACTCAATGAAATAGGTTATGAACAAACATTTCTACAAAGAAAATACACAAATTGTCAAGCAACACTTGAAAAGATGCTCATTATCATTTGCTGTTGTTAAATGCCATCGAGTCAGTCACAGTGACCCTATAGGCTTTTCCGAGGGTTTAAATCTTTGCAGGAGACGAAAGCTTCATCTTTCTCCC